TAAAAGATCATAGCTGTGAAGACATATCAAGCATTTAGAAAGAGAGCTGCTATTTATACTCAAAGTATTATTAACATCATCCCCATTACATATTCTAGCAGGACTTTTTCTTTGAGGATGCTGCAGCAATTTGTAAAAAGCCAAATAAGTAAAAACAAATTAAAAAGCAAGACAAACAAAGCAAACGGCAAACCACTTGAGTCCGCCCAGGAATGACTAGCTAAGCATTCTTTGACGAGTGTGGGAGCTCTGCCCTTGTGAAGGCTACAGAGGCCTGAGGACAAAGCTAAAGAGCAGCATTGCAAGAAGACCAAATCACTGGGTTCATGAAGTTGTGTGTATGTGTGTCTGTGGAGGGGGTGTCAATCAAATCCTTCTGGTACCCACAAAATGATTCAAAGAGCCCTAACATGAGAAGGACTGAGTCTCTGTGGACGTTGAGAATTGCAAGGCGATACTGCCCACTGATCTGTTGCAGGTGTTTAGATGGTAATGCCTTTATAGCAATTTCTCCCTTCTTGGTTCACTCCCTCTCTCCCTCTTTGCTCTTGCTCTCCACTCCTCTCCTTTTCTCTCTCCTTCTTTCCTTTTATTATATCACATTCCCGTCTTCAGCTGAATTTGTCATCTATTAAGATCTAATTTTTATGTGATTTTTCTACCAGGTCAGTGTCTTTACCTGGTGCAATAGACTGTTATGTCTCCTCCCAATTATTATGTTGGAACTTAATCCCCAGCGTGAGGGTATTTGGGGATGGAGTCTTTGGGAGGTGATTAGGACATGAGGGTAGAGCTCTCACGAATGGGATTTGTGTCCTATGAAACAGACCCCAGAGAGCCTCCTCACACCTTCCATCGTGTGAGGTCACAGTGAGACGACAGCCCTCTGTGAACCAGGAAGTGAGCTGTCACCAGACACCAAATCCACCAGTGTCGTGGTTGTGGACTTCCAAGCCTCTAGGACTATGAGAAATAAATGTTTGTGTTTAAAGCCCCTCAGTCTGTGGTTTTTTTTTATAGCAGCCTGAACTAAGACACTTCCAGAAAGTAGAGTCTGAGCCAATAACTTGTGTACAGGGAGTATCTTTAGAGGTGATTGATTCTAGGGATCAGGGGTGAGAACCAGGGAGCATGAAATGGAAAAAGAGGAAAAGACAATTAAAGGTGCCTTATGGAGTTGGATCCTGAAGCAGGCAACTGGGACTGAATCTTACCAGGACCATCCCAGGCTATAGAATGCTTGTCAGAATCGCTAACAATAAAAAGCATTGACAACAAATCCCATTTATTCATCAGTTCTCACCCCCTGTTGGTTAAGGGTTTATCCAGATGCAATTGCAAGTGACCTGAGCAATCTGCTTCCACTGTGGTTCCTAAAGATTTCAAGGCAGGAAGGTGAGCTCTTTAAATAAGGCACTATTAGCAGAAGAAGCCTGCAGAGCCGCTAAGCACATATGCTGCTTCAGTGGCTGGTATCAGAGGAAAGGCCAGTAGGATACGAGGTGATCACAAGGAACTCTGACATGCCAAGTCTTTCTTAGCCTGCTTTTATGTAATTGACTTATGTTAATCTAATAGAGAAATTGACATTTATTCTTTTAAATTTCATAGTATTAATTTGTGCCCAATAATTTTGCCTAGACAATATTTTAAATATTCTGCTTCTTTTGCCTATAATTGCACCAAGCCTGGCCAGTTTTGGCTGACTCGGTAGGTGGTTCAGAACTTTGGATGTGAAGATGGCTGGCTTGGACTCAAATCTCAGCTCCACAGCTAAGTAGCACTGTGACCTCAGGGAAAGTAACTTTTCCCATCTATAAATTGAGGATAATTAGAATACCTACATCATAGAATTATTGTTTTAAAGATTAAATTAAATAATCATTGTGAAACAATTAGCCCAGTGCTTGCATCATACAAAACAAGTGCTTAATAAATTTAAATTGTATTTTAAAGACTGATGAGTATAATTTCATTCCTTCATCTAAGTAAACGGTAAAAGTGTTGAATAGAAAAGTTTCAAACAAAAACCCAACAGCAATTTTTCTGAACTTTCCCTTTAGTTTGATATTAATCAATGGAATAATAAAATCTGTTTTTTAAAGTCCAACCACCCATTTTACGCTCAAAAGATGACTTCATTGCTTTGATAAATTCAAGGAATGCTAAATCTATGCAGTAGTGCTACTCAAAGTGTGGCTGATGGGCCAGTGCTGTTCTTTCAGCTAACTATTACTGGTTCACAATAAAACATGTACGGAAATTGAGTAAGTACAAATTTTTATAGCAATTTGACATTGCCTTGACATCCAAATGCATGATTGGTGGATTTATTTCATTGAACAGCATATAGATCAGATCAGGGATCTGAACTTATGAGATGAGTCTTATATGGTGAGCAACAGACAATGTTAAAATGTAATATTTTAAGGTTAATTTGTCAGCTGTAATCCAAAAGTATATAAAGACAGAATCCCTGTCTTTCATAAAAAGTTAAGTTAAATTTAACTATAATTTTGCAGAATAAATAGTTGGAACTTGTTACTGATGAAGAACTAAAAAATTTTGCAAATAGAGTATCATTTGCTTCAATTCGGAAAAGGTTAAAAATAAACATCTTGTTTTGTTCTCATTCCCATGAATACATTTCTGCAAGATTGGTTTCTTTATTTTATGTAGTATTAAAACATAGAAGCAGTTGTTGATATAAATTTTCCTGAGTAGTATTGTCATCCATTTAAACTAGATTAGATAAATTAACAAGTAAAAAACAAACTTATCCATCACATTAAAATTAAACATTGATACATGAATTGTTTATTTAAAGTGTAAATATAGGTTTTTAAAAAGGGAATTTATTCCACTTTAAATTTTTGTGTTATGATTGCAGAATTACAAAAACTATGAGTGTAACAGCAATTTTCTCTACTATTCACCTCTATAGATGTTTTCATTGAACGATTAGTTTTTAAAAATTAAATTTCTTTTTCTTATGTTTTGATTAAATTTATTGAAATGTAATTTAATGTCTATTCAATTTAATATAAATTATGCCATTCAATTTAATATAAAATTTCTAGTGTCTACTCAATCAAGGGCAAGGCACAGGCCTTGAGGGTGGTCAGAAGACAGGGGCTTGCAGGGTTTTTTGGAGTGGGAGTGACCTGGTAAAAGCAGTGGGGGCAGTGAATGTCTGAAAGGGACTAGTGAGGAGGTGGATGGGGAGGGAAACTGGAGGTGTTCAAGCAAGTGCAGAGAAGAGAGTAGGAACAGGTGCGATTTTAAAAATAAAAACAAAAGCGAACAAAAAAGGCGGGGAGCTTGTATTTTGTACGTCTTAGTTTTTTTTTTTTTTTTACTGGTAATTTATTTTTATTGATTTTACAAAAGTTACCAATCTCCTGGAAATTTTATAAAATTTGATCTTTCACAATAAATAATTTGAGAAGTGCTGCTCTATGCTATTCACTTGACTTACCAACTCATCAATAAAAAGGACAGGAATAGTTCCTATGAAACTGAATAATATTACCCTATAAAATAACAGCAGTTATAGCACACAAGATATTGTAAGACTGAATTATTGTGGGTGAACTGGCTTTGAAGATTGGTTAAAAAATAACCACCGATTTTCACATTCACAACAATTTCCACCGATCTAATCCCCATCATAGAACGTGGAAATAGAACATATCCCTGAAAACATCATCTTTCAAATGCTAATGCCTGAGACCACAGTAAGCACCCTCACCCAGAGAATGTGATGAGGCAGAGGCTGAGCGAGGGAGTGCAGGAGCACAAGAAGAGCATCACTCTGGGTCAGTGTCCGTTTTTGGTGTGATTTTTCTTGCCGACCCCCTAACATGGGCAGCTGTAAAATTGGAATAAAACTGTAACTCATTAGCCAACATTTAGCAACCCTGACGTGTATCCTGGGACTAATAAGACTTGAAGAAGTTAAAACAAAAGCATAAAAGGAAGTCAATAATAAGAACAAAACCCAGCAGATGAATTTTTTTAGAAAAATAAAGGGATAAATATATTCTTTTTAAAAAATATCTTTATTGAGATATAATTCATATATCATAAAATTTACTCATTTAAAGTGTACAGTTTACGCTAATTTTTAGTATAGTCAGAGTTGTGTAACAATCACCACAACCTAAGTTTAGAATGTTCTACATTCTCTTTTAAATACTAGACATGCATGTACACATATCTGCACATATATGTATATTCTCTTTTGCACTTGGTTATTATTGAATAAAAAACATAAATCTATGGTCCCCTTAGAATATTAAGAGCGACTAACTCAAGGAGTTTAGCTTCTTGCCTCTTCTCTGTTTATTGCTCCAGAGAGGAGCTGAATGAGGGACTCAGGGCTAGATGCTCCCAGGTCCCCCTTGGAGGCCAGCTTGACTAGCATGCTGCTCTTCCCTGACCCTGACCCACATCCTTTTTGTGGCACTGAGCCTTTCAAGCAAGTTTGGGCCATAACTCAGCTGCACAGCCCTAGTCAGTGGTTTTTCAATGACTCTAGCCTGGATGAAACTACCAAGGCATTTTTGAGGCGGCCACAGAACAGATAATGACTTTACTTCCCACTAACCTGGATTAGGTTCAAACTGGTTGTCTACAGGGGAAAAGATCTATGTGCTCCCTCCCTTTCTTTTCCTATATTTCAAATCCTTAATTCCTTGCCCTACTTTCTGCTTCCAAACATGATTTCTCCCTCTGGTCTCCCCCTCCTCACAATTCCTATCCTTTTCTTGGACTCTTTAGGAAATCTGATTGCCCCTCTTGAGAGGATATCTGGGATAACACAGTTATTGATGAACTGTTATTATTTTAGTGGCTAGACATTCAACCGTTTCCTTAAACGCAAGTAACACATTCTTTTCCAAGTGCACCCTTCCAGAGCATCCTAACCACCAACCGCAGCCCCACGTAGAACACCTCATGGATGACGACAATAAACCTGTTCAACTGGGAAGAAGGAAGAAAATGAAAACGCTATTTTATTGGAAAACCCAAATGACTTAAAAACAAATTTAGGGAAAATATAGCTCCCTAACGTGGGCTTGACTGTGAAAGGCAAACATCATAAAAACGTGGTCTCTGTTTCAGGTGTTCTGGAAACAAACTCACTTTTAGGGTTTGGGTAGCTGCTCCAAGCACCAATAGAATTAAGGGATGAATCTTGTATTTAAGGATTATGTAGTACCTTCCTTTCTCAAACAATCTTTTCCAACTTGCAGAGATTTTGAAGCTGTAATGTTGGTTCTGATTAAGTTACTCCTATCCTTTTTTCTGATTAAGTGGCTTCACCATGTATTTAAATAATACAAAATTTGAAAACAGTAGACAAAAATCACACTGGTTTGCCTCTTCATTGCCTCTGAGGGAACTAATAGTAAAAACAAGATGTTCGTGTAAAGAACTTTAATAACAGAAAATCATAACCTAATCAGAGCTCTTCCATATTTTCTGAGCCATTCACCATGTGCCAGCACTGAGCCAAGAACAACATGGGCGTTGCTCTCGAAGGGTGTCCATTCCAGAGTTGAGACGATTGATGAGCAACTGCAATAAAGCCCAAGCCTGCTCTGCGGGGTGAAAAGCAGGGCTCTCGGGAAGTTCGTGGCAGGGGTACTGCCACAGGGAGTAACATCCTCGTGGCAAATGGAAATCACAGGCCTCCTAGAAATAGAATGATTTTAGCTTCACTTCTTAGTACTGGGATCAGCAGATACCGATATTGAAGATAACCTACTCTTTTGTTCCACTCAAGTTTGAAACAGTTTCTAACCCAGGAAACCACCAAAATAGAACTGCTGGCCTCAAAGCATTTGAAAGGAGATTTTCAATAATAGAGGCTACCAATCGCATCTTTTCTGAACAGGAGCAAACTGGCGATCTTTTTCACTTTACTTTTTTCTCTGAGATGCTGGCATCTGCTTCTGCTCTGTTTGCTAAGGTTTTCATTAGAAAAAGTATAACACATACAACTTCTCAATGATTAAAACATACTGCCTTTTGTGAGTGATGAAGTCAGACAAGTAAAGTATCTGTCTTTATTTTCCATCATAGTTGGTCATAAATCCTGCAACCTAGAAGTGATAATGTGCTTTGGCTTCATATAATTGTGCTGGCTGGAGCTCTGGATGCTCATGTCTCCAGTTTTATTGTGTTGGGACGACACACAACTCTTCCAAGTTGCTGATGGAGATGCTGGCGGTGGCCCAGCTCTCTAGGGTGTTGATATTTGGATTGCTCTCTCTAAGGGATTGCTTTCCTCTAGCTAGTGATTTCTCTCATGTCTGTGTCCGTCCTTTGGAAGACCATGAAGAAAGGAGAAATACTTTCCCTCTTTACAACTAATTAGGGGGAGGGGGCATGTTGAGTTAGAACATTTAAAATAAATGAGTCCCCTTAAATGAATACCCATTAATTCAATCACCCATTTTTTCCTTTCTTCCTTCCTTCTCTCCCTCCTTTCCATGTGCATTTATTAAATACCTTATGTGTTCTGCACTATATTGGTGTCACGAAAGTCCTAAAGGAATTCTGTGGTCTGGCAAGGAAAAGACAACTATAATGGAAAATTTGGGGAAAAGTGTCAGCTTTGGCAGTGTATGTGTTAGGGTAACATCAACCGCTGTAACAATAAACTTTTAAAAAATTGGCTTAACATAATAAAAATTTATTTCCCACTCAGATAAAAATCCAAAGCAGATGTTCCTTATCTGTGGGATAAAGGATTCAGGCTTCTATCTTGAGGCTCGACCTTGCTCTAGGTCTTCAGAAACATTCCAGCCTTCCGAGATAATGGAGAAGGTATATCCACTTCTTACTAACCCTCCTCCTACTCATTTTCCACTGGTGAAAACTTGTCATACGACCCCAAAGGAGACTGGGAAGTGCGGTCCTGGCTAGGGCAGCTGCATTTCCACAGAATGGGAGGAAACAAAAAGGTTAGTGGACAGTTAGCCGCAAGGAGAATATGAATGAATTCTCTCTCTCTCTCTCTCTTTTTTTTTTTTTTTTTGGAACAAATTAATCTTTAGATGATAAAGGAACACTTAGTAGGAAAAGTCTGGTGGGAATACTTTCCAGCTTAAGCTGGAAACAGCACAAGGACATTTGAAGATCTAAAGGCTGGGTTACAAGCAGTTCCAACCCCCTGTTTCTCAAACAAGAAAACATAATATCATTTATGCTCCTCCCTTAGGAAGAAGGGGAAGGTTTCATTCTCACATCTCCCATCACAGTATAATTTGTCTCATGTTCTTTTTTCTCCCCTTTTTTTTCTTGAAGGGATCATAAAAATTAAGTCCAAAACAAATACAATTCTTCAGATAGCAGGTTTGGTTGCCCTTTGAGATACCTAATTTACAAAGCTCCCTTTAATGGGTGCCATCTTACAGTCGGGGAAATGAGCCACTACCTTTGCAAGTCAGGTTTGTTAGCTTTTTTTTTTTTTTTTTTTTTGGCCCAAATCCCCTCCATTTTCCTCACAGCCTCAGCGAGCACAGTTTCTTTTCATCCTAATGTAGTGAGGGATAAAATGAAAGGAAATTTTCCTTAATTCAATAGTGAAACTTTCCAGTTGTGAAGCACTTTGAAATACAAACTAATTAATAAACACAACTCTCTTTTAAAGTAGTAAGGACTGCTGTTCTCATTTTTCACAGCTGAGAAGGCTGCAGTTAAGCTAGTCGGCCCCAGGCTGTGCGCCTGGTCTGCAGAAGAACTTGGAGGTACCAGCCCTGAGTTCTCTCAGGGTGGCATGTGGCCTCTCTCGGGGATAATCAGTTTTTATATGAGTTGTAGTTAATAGTGACTTTGTCAATGACTCCACAGTGCCTCTGGCACTGGCTATGCAATTAGTAACGTTCTTGTCACAAACCGTGAGTGACCCACTAAAGAGAATAGAGTAAAAGGGACTCACTGGATGGCCCTGTATCACCTTCTAGAGACTGAAGAAATCTTTTGCAATCATCAGCACTGTGCTAAACTGAGAAGCAGAAAGATGAGAAGGATTTGTTTATATCTTCATGGAACTAAGACCTTGAGGCCAAAGTTATTATTGCCATTGCATACAGAAAGAAATTGAGACCTAGAGCCTGCTGCCTTCCCAAGGATAAATCATTAGGACTTTCATTCTAATATCACTCTTTTGTCTTGGCTCACACAAGGATAACACACTGTATACAAATAGCACTGAGACTATTCCAATAATAAAAAAATGATCATAAGCGACGTAATGTGTGAAGGTTTGCCAGGACCACATCTTTTGTGATGGAATAAATGGTTCCGAGTTGTAGCACAGATGAAAAATCACAAACTGGCTCCTGTGGTAGTGAAATCTATAAGCAACTTGTGAGGCCCCAGACGCTTTGACTGCACCCATAATTAAAACATTTATATTTTGAAGATTCTATCACAGTTTGGTTATGAGGTAAGGATCTGTCATTATAAACTGCTGGCTGTCAAGTATGAGAGAAATACCTAAGACATAACATAGATCTTGGTAGAATCTTTGTTTCTGCCTTCTTGAGTATACTATTTATATAAGTTATAGAATTAATAGTCATAAATAAATCTAGCCAGGACACTTTGGGTTCATTTTCATTTGTGACCACAGTGAGATTTGATATTATAAAACTACACTATTCAATATGAGAGCCATGAGACACATGTGGCTACTACGAATTGAAATGTGTTCTAAGTGTAAAATACACATTGGATTTTGAAATCTTAATGTGAAAACGAGATTGCAAAATACCTCATTTTTATATTGATTACATGTTGAAATATTAATATTCTGGATATATTGGATTAAACACAACATATTATTAAAATTTAATTTCACCTGTATTTACTTTTATAACGTGGTTACTAGAAAATTTAAAATTCCATATGTGGATCACAACTTTCTATTGGAAAGTGCTTTTATAGACTTCTAGCTTTTTAAGAGTCTCCTAACTATGAAAGCTTATTTGGCCACTGAGTCCCCCAGACCACCCAAATTCTCTGCTGTTAGCAACAGCTTCCTTTAGAATCAACAGGCAGATATCAGTATTCAAGCAAAAGAATATTTCTTGACTTTCTAATTTGCCTTTATTATTTTATTTGCTAATATTAGAACAGATCCAAAAGGAAGGCTTCTCATACCTCTCCCCTTGGCTAACTCCTACATGTCCTTCAAGACGCACTCCACATCACTGCCCTTGGAAGCCTGCCCTCCCTCCCTATTCCCTGTGGCCTGGAAACGAGTTAGGTGCCCCTGCTCTGTGCCTCCGTGCCAGACCGCCATCACTGGCTTGTCTCTCTGTCCCATTTTCTGTACATTCATTAAGGTCAGAGATTGTCTACCATTTTTATATTTCTAGTATCTAGCACAGTTTCTGGAAACATTACACAAATATTTATTAAATAATTGCTTAATTGAAGAATGAATAAAAATAGTTCATTAGTTGACACTGTTATTTTAGAATTATTGGAAATAGTAGCTTACATTTGATTGGCACTTCACAAAAATTATGTTAGCTGATCCTCACAGAAGTATATGGGGGAAAATCCTTCCTCATTAGAATCATCACATTTTATTAGCCACAATTCTTCATAATGGCTCCCCTCTCAAGTCAGGAGTGCCCTGATAATGATATTGATAAAATCAGATTGCTGTGTGAAAATTACCAAGTTACAGTTTATTTGTGTATGTATATCATAATCCTACTAAGCTGATGGCAGAGACGATATGAGCCATATGCATAAGATATGCATTGGGGGTTGAGAAGGTGCCTATGGAAAAACCAATCTGTTGTTTTTGGGGTATCATATAATTTATTATCCGAACTCAGCAATTTGAGAGTTAATGGGAGTGCTATAATATTTATTCTGGCACAAAACATAAACTGGTCTACTAAGGACAAATCAGGATATATATGTTCACCCTAGTTATATTACATAAGAACCATTGTGTATGGCACAGATATGGTGAATGGGCTGTCTCCACTTGTTGATGGGAGGGAAGGGACTCTCGCTATGAGTGGAAGACCCGAGAGATGAGACTGGGAGTCCAAGATTCTGACTGTCTCTCCCAATGGCCCAACTACAGCACTGTTTTGAGTGGATGAAACTTTTCAGCAGGCCTTCTCTAGATGGGGCAACCGCATGAGCTCTGAAAACAGAAGTCCTATCACCTGCTCATCAGCTCACAAACCCAGGACACTGCTTGGAAGGAGCTGTCCTGTTAGTTGTGGGGAGATAGCTTCCTTGACAAATGCTCAACGAGCCAGCAATTTCCTTGTGCCTTCTATGCTCCTGGTCAAAGAAGCTGGAAAGAGCGATGAGCTCATGTTAATACCTCATATCTCTTTGTCACTGTTTTCAATTTGTTCCTACCAGCCTTGGAGAAAATCTAAAAGCTATGTTATAAGTGCTTTCAATTAAAACCACCGCATACACGATTACTATCTTCCTTTGAGAGAGAAAGAAATTGAGGCTCAGCAGTTTTTAGAGATCTGCCCAGTGGGAGAATTACAGAGGAGATTTCCAAGACCCAGTCTGGGACACTTCCCACTATAACATACTGCTTCATGGAAACACCCCATGAAGACTGCACTGCCTTAATTTAATTTGCATGTAAGCTTGAGTCTTCCTAAAGAAGCAAAGTATGATGTTCACTCCGTTTCCTGCAGATGTAGCTACCTCTCACCATCTCTTAGGTGGGCTCTCTTTGGGTAAATGTGATGGTGCAACTAGTAACCACAGCAAGTCTAGTGGATGCCCGTGCTGCTTTAGAGCTTGGTGGACACCGACCAGCACAGGGTGATATCTGTGCATCTGAAGTGCCCCATTCAAGATCAACAAATGGCTGAAGACAGATTTTTCAGCCAGAGGAAAGACTTATTACCTTACCATCAGTCTAATGAAAACAGAGGTGAAATACCAACCTGCACTAGATAAACAGCACACCACGCCATCCATCACACTCAGCCACACTGAGCAGAACACCCTAACCGATTTCACCTGACTTTCCTGCTTTACTCAGATGAGTATTCACAGCATCAGAAAGCTGGGACCTTTTCCCACTGGTTTTTGTCAGAATAAAGACCTGGACAGTTTAACAAAGACCTGAAGAAGGACTTTCTCCCAGTTTAAATTCCCTTTTCTCCATAGCCACAGACAGGAAGAGCTTCTGAGGAGCCCACTTCTTACCTGTGTGCTCTACACTGGTGTTGTCTTCCAGGGTGTAGTTTCTATTATTGGGTCTCCTCAGTACTTCCAATAGCAGCTTTCTTCCTCAGGACCAACCAGCTGATAATTAGCATATCCATTCATTCAGTACGAGTGCCTGCCTACTCTAAGAGACACTCTAGGAGCTCACAGTCTAGGAGAAAGGATAGAAATCTTGCAATGTAAAGACATTCTTTTGTTTTTATATATATCTCTCATTTTGCATTAACAATATTATGCGAAGTAGAAAAAGCATTATTAAACTCATTTTCAAGAAGAGGAAGGTATGGGGGTAGGGAGTGGGTGAAATGGGTGAAGGGGGTCAAAAGGTACAAATTTCCAGATATAAAATAAATGAGTCATGGGGATGTAATGTACAGTGTGGTGACTATAGTTAACAATACTGTGTTGTATATTTGAAAGCTGCTGAGAGTAGATCTCAAAAGTTCTTATCATGAGAAAAAAAATATGTGTTGATGAATGTTAACTAGATTTATTGTGGTGATCATTTAACAATATATACATATACCAAATCATTATGATGTACATCTGAAGCTAACATAATGTTATGTCAATTATATCTTAATAAAAAAGAGAAGCTATGACTTAGATACATGGTGTCACCCAAAGTGAGAAGTAGAAGAAAATAAGAACTCTGAATATTTTTTTGAATGTGTAAGTAGACTTGTTTACCAACCTCAGCTGAGTGACTTCCCCCCACTGTATGAGACTTCTTTGATTATGCCATCAGCCTTCCTCTTTTCTTCCAGAAATTTAAAAATCACCTTTCAGGAAAAAAAAAATCCATTACGGCCTTCATTGACTGGGTAATGATGTTGCCATCACAGACCCACAAACAGGGAGTAAACTTCCTAAAGCAGGGACTAAATTTATATCCCCTAGGTTTTGCAAGATGAGTCACGCCTGTGAGTGACAGCTGTGAATGCTTGACTCTGTCTTTGCAATGGTAAATGAAAGACAGCAACATGCATTTTGTTAGCAATGGCCTTTTGAGGAACATGTTCAAAGAGCTCTAGCACATTATAAAATCATGTTGTCTGTTGATCTCTGAAATAAGGATTAATAATAGAAACGAAATTTAATATTAAATATATTCATGGAATGCTTATGGTTTTACAGGCACTAAGCATATGCTATTTTGTTTAATACAGCAATCTCATAATGTTTTAGTAAGCCCAATATATAAATGAAGAAATAGGGGCATAGAGCCTGGCTTAAGATTATACATTAAAGCAGCAAAGCTATGATTTGTACCCAAATCTTTTTAGGATATTCAGAGACGGTCATCCTCTAGTTAACTCATAAGAAACCGACAGGCGAGAATGCTGACTATTCATATGGAGGATATCCCTTTCCAGAGTGCAGAATACCTTTTCTCCTATTCATGGCAATGCCTTCCTGGTACCCCATCATCTGAGAAGCTGTGTCATTATTCAGAAATCTGAAAAGAGAAAGTGAATGGTATTGAAGGATGTTCCATGCAGACCATGGTAAGGACAGATGACACTTCAAGTCACACACACACACACACACACACACACACACACACACACAATATCTCTAACTACTGGAGTGATTCCCCTCCTCACTCCCATCATCTTCTCTCTCTAGTGACAGTTCTAGAGAAATCACCAAATGCTGCTTCTCTGATTATCTATTTTGTGTCCTGGGCACCTCCTCTGAGGGTACATTCTTTCTTTAGGTTGGGCCATGCTGTGTTCCCGGAGTAGGTATGTTTTACAAATCAACTCCTCAGTATGCTAATGAATATTACTTAAAGAAAAAAATAAGCTGGGATTGGTGACGCACTTTAATGGTTAAAAAAGCGTTTAAGAGAAATGCAGATACAAACAAAGTGAAACGTACACTGTGGTTATCAAAGATTGTTCCAGACAGATTCGAAAAACATCTTGCAGTATTTGTGCTCCTAAGGACTCTGGGTTAACCTCCTATTTCCCCTGAAATCACTTTTCCCAAAAGGTAACAAAACATTTTGTCTCCTTCAATAATGTATTCATTTAAGTAGCTTATTGCTCAGAGGTCAACCACTTGCCCTTCCTCCAAGCTTCTAGAGAGACATTTCACTGTCACCCCAAGTACTACCTATCATTTTTTTATTTCCATTGCTTGTAACACTTACACTTAGTAAATGAATAAACTTTTAAGCAGTAAGTTCATTTTACTGGAAGCGTGTCTAACCACATTAGCATCTTACCTACTATGGCTGCTCCATAAAATGTCAAATGATAAGAAGAGCTGGGATTTGGGACTTTCTTTCTGTGGTTGTGAATCTTGGAAGTAATCCAGCTGTCGAGTCAAAGACAAACTTCACCTGTGCTGTTTCAGATCCATCATGTGTATGAAGTGGAAAGATAAGGTTACACACCCAGTGAGGTGCTGAAATATGGGAAATCGAAGCAACTCGAGGGCCACGTTAATTAAAGCAGAGCTCTGCCAAACAGGGCTTATCAACAAGGGACCTGAGACTCCCCAAATGTATGTAGTTCAAGATCAAACCTAGCCAGCTCTTATCCATGGCTGAGAAGCACTTGAAGCTCCGTTTGAAGCACAACCTGAACTCTGCTGGCATCAGCCCAAATGCCTACAATGGACTTTGATCATATAGCTCTAAGTACCATAGGATTTCAGACCAAACTGAAGCTCAAGTGCCTTCATGAACAATGACAAAAGGTGGAGATCAGAGAAAAGCAAAGAAGGCCCAAAACTTCAATCAAGTGCCGACGAGATAACACTGTGCTGAGAAGCAGTCAGTGCCTCACGAACTGTACTTTGAGCCTCAGGTCAGAACAGAGGCATGAATATCCACCTCGCAGATATTGTCTGTTCATTTTTCCCTCTTGTGAAGTTCTTGAGCATCCATAGCTTTGTGCATAGTGATATTTATGTCTCTAGTGACTTTATACTCTCTGTGCCATGTCATGTGCTACGGCAGTCAGAAAATTTTGGTAGGGCCTAGATGCTGGACATACATTATGAAGATTGTCTGTCTTTGTTGTGTGGAGTTGAAACCAAGCCCTAGGCTTGGAAAGCTGTTCTCATGATGAGTTTACCAGTTTCGAAAGATGTGTACATCCAGCCCTTACTTCTTGTGTACTTTTTTCTTAGGAGGCTCCATTCTTAGGGTCGGAACAGCTGGCAGCCAAGTGTTGAGAGAAGAAAAGCTGGTGCGTGGTGTGTGCTGATAAAGCGCAGGGGGAGGGGAGCCTGTCAGGTGTGCTGAGTGACATTCCACACCGTTAGTACGGAGGGGTCTGTGTGACTCACACAAGTTATGAACTCTGGGAAGCTAGTTCCAAAAAGGAACTCCTTCCATTTGCATCCCCTTTCTGGCACGTCTCATACTCCCTGTGCACGGTGTAGCTATGTATTTCATTAATCGAGTGTTACCTGGTGAAGTAGTTACTTGATTTGCTAAATATACCAGTGGTAACCAAAGAATAAGGCTGCTGAAGAACTGAATCAAAACGACAGAACCACAACTATTTTCTATGTGGTTATTATTAGATAATCATGTACTCCCCAGCCTTCTCCTATTAAGGGGGGATTCTGAAACTGATTCTTTGGTAACTGGTTACCCACTTATGTGTTTTCACCTCCACACATGAATCTCCCACAAAGACATGAGTTGGGGTCATGTGCTCATCATGTCACACATTGTCCTTTTATATTTTGTGTAAGACCCCTGGGGATGCTTGATTGTGTTGGTATCCTTTTACTCAACAAACTTATGATAGCTGAGCTTGAATTACTAGTATTAAGTCATTAAAATTATCATTTAAAATAGTTCTTAAAGCAGAAAGGACAAAGCATAGATTCTTTGGGTTTCCCAGTCTAACATGCACATATTAAATAATAACAAACAACAGTCCTACACCCATTTATTTATGTGCATGATTGATACTCTTCCCTCACTGCCTTCCTCATGCTCTGACCTCAGGTCTCACCTCTCCCCCTTGCTGTCTGCGCTCTAGCCCACTGACCTCTGTAGGCTCCTGGGACACACCACTCCACACCTGTGTACCTGCTGTTTCCTCGGTCCACCTGCTCTTCCCCAGGATCTGCACAGCTCATCCCCTTGCTTCTTCCAAGTTTTCATTCAAATGTCACCATCTTAGTAAGGCCCTGCCTGGCCACCCTGTCTAAAGTTCCCCCTGTATCAGACACTGTCTGTCTTCTTTCCAGGCTTTATTTTTCTCCTAAGCATTTATTGCTAGACTATAAATATATACACATATTTTATTTTTAGCTAGTTTTAGTGTTTGTCTCCATAAATAGAATGTAAGGAAAGAGAGTTTTTGCTTGTTTTGCTCCCTGTTGCATTAGGGCCTAACGCACGGTATTTAATAGGAATTTTTGAATGAATGAATGAATGAATGAGTGATTGAGGCCAGGCTCTGTGCTGACTACTCATGATCAAGCCAGTGGTTTCCCATTGCAAGACTTTATAGTCTCACGAGAAAGGCAGATCTAAAGTATGTAATTAAAACAAAATGTGCTACTGCAAGGAGCTGTGAGAGTGAGTGGCAGAGGAGCCTGACCTGGTGTCTGCAGAAGTGATGTTCAAACTGAGCCTTAAGCCAGAGACAAGAGAGAATATGGTGGGTTCCAGGAGGCTGAAACTGGGTGGTGAGAAATGAGAAAGGTCCACAGGTGCAATGAAGCTGGAGCAGGGGGTGTTCTGAAGGTAAGTGATCTACAGATTCAGCGATGGGGAGCCGCATAGGGGTTTTAAGTGGAGAAACAACATGACCCAGAATAGTATTTTAATCAGATTTGAGAGAAGACAAAAAAGCCAAAATGAAGCAGACTTCGGAGGGCATAGACTGTCAAATCTGTCTGTGAGAACTGCTGACTCTGAGCAAACAAAAATAGTAAGCACAGAGGGTACAAATGAAACAATTTCTTGGGATCCTTACAGTTCTAGGAACATACCGAGCTCAGTCCTGCTTCAGCATTTTCACCCACCATGTTCCCCTTACTGGAAACGTTCTCTTCACCCATCCAAAGCTATCCGCCCTTCCCAAACACACCTGCAGCCTACCTCTTCTGGAGAAACTTTCATGCGCTTTGTGTCCTCATTAATCTCTTTCCTTTGATCTCCTAAAGCACTAAGGTACACACCACACCAGTTAGCTCTTAATGGTCTACTTTCTTGAATAATTCAATACCTTATCACCCCAAGTAGGATGTCCTCTCCTTGCAAATAAGGACCCCACATCCCACCCACCCTCTCCCACCTACCTAGAGAAAGGATGAGAACATATTGGAAGACCCTAGTCTTCCAAGATGTACCAATTTATTTAGGTCCAGATTATTGAATACACACTGCTATTCTGCAATCTTCCAATGACTGTTTAAAGAGTCACACTTTATATATGA